GGCAGGTCCGTGATGCTCTGTGTCATGCTCTTATTACAGCTCATAGCATTTACGCTATCCAGCAGCGAGGGATTCTCATCTCCGCGTTTGCTGCTGTTCTGGCACTGCAGGCCACCGTTTTGTCCAAATAATATGTATTTATTTTTTGCAATGTTGTTGTGAGACTTTGTTTGAAATCAATACCAGTTGCACTCAGAAAGACAGAGCATTGACTTCTGCCTGCAGAGAGAAGAGGAGCAGCTTGGGTCCGCAGCCTCCGTTTAAAGCAACAACTGTTCTCCAGTGTTATACCCAAAACCTTCATCGCCTTTTATAAATCAGCCATTTGCCGTTTCGCGGAGGCGCTCCTGCCGGTATCGGAGGTGGGCAGACGGACAGCCAGACAGCCTCAGGCTGCGGCCAACCTGCAGCTGGGCTGAGAAGGCCCCGCGCCGCCAGCGAGGCAAGGAGGACGCGCGAGTAACAGCACTTGCGTAAAACGCCTGCAGTAATTCCAGCTGTAAGACGAGATCGGGACGACAAGGACCCTGGTGAGATCAGAGCCGGTGCCTGAAATCGCATGTGGCAGTTTGTGAACTGGTCCCGGCCGAGACGGAGCGGGAAATGAGCTACTAAGTCAGCGTGGTACCTGGAGCGCCGTCCTCGAGCCCTTTGGAGTCAGCCCCAAGATGCCTTCTTGTTAGCAGCAGCGGCTTTCGTTCCTAAGAGTGGTTGTGAAGGATTTGCTTCGTCCCCAAGAAGGATTTGGTTTAGTCGAGTTTCAGGTCGAGGTAGTGGGGTCTGGAACGCTATAGGGAGTTTTCGGTTTGTTTGTTTTCACCACCAGCCTCAGACTCCTGAGTCTCAAGATGAGCAGGACAACTGGGCCACAAGATCATAAAGCATCCAGACATAACGTTGTGCTAGAGACAGACTGCAGGGCTGAAAAAAAATCGTTAGTGCCATGACCTTGCAATGGCAGGGAATTAAATAAAAATTATATAGCTATTTTTACCTATTCAAAGTTTAAGGAAGATATTTCAGGCAAAAAAAAAAAACTGTGGCAAAACTTTTCTAGGTGTTTAATAGAGCATTAACAATGATTGCATGCAAGTCGATGTCTTAAGCAAATTTGGAAATACTGCAAAGCAGTATTTTTAAAAAATATTGCCAAAAGATTTGTAATTTAAAATTGTCTGAAGAAAACAGAAACAGGACAGTGATTTTCTACAGCATGTTGAATTTTTGCTGATGCCTAAAAGCTGCTCTAAATCCGCCCCCGACCACAAGGACATGCAAATTGGTGGACTTGAGCAGTATGGAGCAGTCAGGACATTACAGAAGACTTCCTTTGCCCAAGGAATTGTCTAGCTGTCATTATAATGCAGATTTCTAATGGTTTTGAATACCTGGACCAGGAACCAAAAGACTGAGCCATGAAGATCCAAATAAATGGAAAGGTCCTCAAAACGGTAATATCTGCTCAGAAACCTGCTTACCATAGTACCTAATTAATGAAGAGTTAAATCCTTCTGTCTGAGATCTTCATAAAGTAAGAGCTCTAGGAAAATGAAATAAAAAAAAAAATAATATCATTTAACACCCAGGACTGCTTTCTGACAAGTAGACTGTATGCACAGAATACCTGTCCCTGGCTTTTTGTCCCTTTTTCCTGAACAAATATGATACCATACTCAGGGAGAGCAAAACATGACTTATATTTAGGCTTCTGCTCCGCTATTTATGGAATGTCAGTACTATTAATACGTTTCTTTAAGGACAGCCTTAGATTTCAGCCACTCAGTCATTACCATGTAAAAGAGACCAAAGTAACAGAAATGTTGCAACTTACTTCAACAGAGGAGATCATAGCACAAGAACATTTGCCTGTAGCATGTGTGTGTGTGTGTGGGATATATATGTGCATGTGTGTGTGTGTATGTATATATATATATGTAGTATACAGATCGCATATATGATGAGAGGGCTGAGTTGCTACTCATGTGCAGTACCATAAGATTATAAAGACATTGCCAAGTACTTCCATACAACACAATTTTTAAAATTCTGGATGATCATGGGAAGACAATTTGTCTCAATGAACAGTCTCAACAGTCTCCAGGAGCCAGTGCAAAAGCCATCATCAATAAAGTGACTTTCAGTTTTCCCAATGAATCCGGTGTTAAACGTTTGTTTCGAGGTGATCACTTAGCTTATTTTGTGCATGTGGCTGTTCAGAGAGTGCTCCAGATGTCGACAACTTTTTCTTAACCGATTTCCTCCTTCCTTTTCTTTTTTAGCTGCATTTTAATATTTTCACCACTGCTGAAAGTCAGCAATTGCATGTTTGAAGTCCTCTCTCAGAAAACACAAAACTGCAATAATGGAAACATTTTGGCCCGCTCTTGCCCTTTTGAGTGACAGGCAGGAATTATTTTGCTCTCCTGCTTATTAAAAGAACTTAAGTGGAGGTTTCTTCTGTAAAAAGATAAAATGTGTGTACAAAAGAGGTGTTCTACACTGGAAGAGATATCAGCATAGTTACAGGAATTTTAATAACCAGCAATTATAGAACAAAGCTGGAAGCTAAACAAAACATGCTCTATTAACTATGAATAAGAATATAATTCAAGTAAATTGCATAGTGAGCATCAGAAAAGGAAATCATTCATGAGCAAGCACTCAGGCTGTATTTACTTAAGACATATTAACAGTAACTTGCAGTTTGGGGCCTCATGTGAGCCTTTAAGACTGTTTAACTTACGATAGCGTGGTGCTTTGCAAAGCACAGTTAAACCCAGCACCTCGGGCACTGTATAACAGCAGTGTGGTGGGGGGGAAAGGTGGCAAACTGAGAACCTACCCCAGCAGGTCGCCTGTCCCCATCCTTGGGGCAGCAACACTCAGGGCCTCCTACGGCCTGGGGAGCTGGAGCTGGTTCGGCACTGAACGGTTCATCCAAGAGCAACCAGAGCAAGGCTCTACAATAAATCACTAAATAAATGAAATCTGGCTCCTAGAATCATCACAAGCTCTTTCCACAACATTCAACTTTAATTAATTTTTGTAACAAAGTCCAATTTTTATCACACTCAGACTTCAAACAGTAGCAAGTCACAAGGTGAGCTTTGCTCTCCTTGTAGTAGAGAGTCAACGCTGCTTCCTCAGTCTACAGCTGTATACTCCTGGCAAAAGACAACAAACACATTCATTTCATTTTGTTACTGCTTGTTCAAGGAAAACAGTAGAAGACATGGTTTTAAAATTGGTTTCATGAAGATTTATGAGAGTGCTATAGTCAGTTCTACGTTACACAAAGACCTAGCAGACGAGTCCCTGCAGGCTCAGAAACGTTGAGCTCACAAGTTCACTGGTCATTTGGGTGCACAATAAAAACTAAGTAAAAATCTCAGAAACAAAACAAAACCTAAATACATTCCATTCACTCACTCAACATTTTCTTAAGTTTTGAAAAAACTGAGTTACGGCCAAGTCCCTGTGAACTTCAGTCTGCTCCATTTGCCAAACCAGGCAGAACCACACGGAGTCCACACAGAAATCCAACCATCTCATCGCAGCCGGGCAGGGGAGGAAAGTAAACAAGGCTCAGAGTGCTGGGACGCAGGACCAGTCACCAGCCCCGGGAAGCTGATGTGTTTTCAGTTCATTTCCAGATAGGATCATGCCATGATATTTGACTCCAAATCCAAATACCCCTGCAAGCTGAGGTTCTTTGAATGAAATAGACTGGTTAAAATTCCTCTCTGCTGCCCATTTAAAAAGCTACTGCCCAATAAAATTGAGCCAGGACAAAATCTTGGATCCAGGTGCCAAGCGCATTTGGCTGCAGCTCAGAAATTCATAGCTTGCGCTAAGCACATGACTTATCTGGTGGGCATTATTTTAATTCTTTATTATTTTTGTAAGTCTCAGAACCTGAATCATAAGTGTATGCTGCCCTAAAAAAAGGGATCTGGACTGGCGACAGGGCTTGTGCAAGTGCCACGGAGACAGTTAATGAACAGTAACGGTTATATGCCCCAAGGGCCAGGACACAGGTGTGGGAATAACAGGCTGGGACAGCTCAGCGGTCCATGCTGCTCGGGGCTGACCGAAGGCTACAAGCAGAGGACCTCACCCTTGAGCCTGCGCAGCGACTGGAGCCACCATGCAGCCGTAAATAACTGCGCACAGCTCATGGCACTGATTTCTTCCCCACCGCAGTCAGAGCCGCTCCTGGAGACAGCTGGAAGAAAGGGAGATGAGTCCTGAGCGAGTGAAATCCAGGCGCAGCTCTATGCTGTGTGCTCCAGCTCCTCCGGGAACCTGCGGTCCTAGCTGGAAGTGCGGTACTCAAGTGAGGGAAACATGCTGGTTATTTGTATACCTGTCTTCCAAAAATCTAGACTTACTCTGAAGCCATATGCACACCACTGGCTTATGTATTTGGTTATGTCCATTTCTTAGCTACATATTCACAGCTGGCTTCGGCCGTCTTTTGCTGTCTAACTGAAGCCTAAATTTGAATGTTTATGCATGTTAGTGAGCTCTGGATTCAGGTCTGAGCCTCAGGACTGTCTCCTGTTCTTCAGGTGGTTTTTGAAGCAGCTCCCTCCTGAGGGGAAGAGAAAAAAAAAAAGTGTGATATAAATCAAACATAGCATGACCTTGCCTTCTACTTTAGATTTATGCATACTTCTTTGGGGCCAACTCTGTTACTCTCTCATGGTGAAATTTCATGATGTGAGATTGATGGCATCGTAAGTGTTAGCACCTTCCCCAGAGATTCCGGAGGAGAAAGGAAAAACATTACATCCCCATCTTCTGTTTGACCACACATCATATCTGTGCATCTATCATGGAGCATATTTGGTTGGGGAAGTCTTCCTGGATCCGTCTGCAGGAAAAAGGTTCCTCACGTTTCTCTGGGTTTCTTTTTTAACATGAGCATAGTTTGAAACTTCTCTCACGCTCACTGAAATAGTTTTTAAAGTGGATGTTCATGGACAAAATGCTACCAAAATATCTTGTAAGAGACAGGATAAAATGCCTTATGAAAGTAGTTCCCTGTCAGGAAGGGGTCTCAGAGGTAAAACAGAAGAACAGAAGAAAAGGTTGGAGAAGTCACGGTAGACTTAGCAGCATAAACTTACCAGCGTCATTGAAGTCCCTGGTGCGAAGGTGAGCGATGCACCGGCTGATGCAGACTGGTGCATCCTCTCCCACGCTGGCTCTCACGGCTCAACGTTCCCATACTACAATTGCAGCAATGTCATTGTCGCTACACGGTCTGCAATGGATAGACACTTGAAACAGCCCATTCTTTTAGTTTGTTGGAAATATATGTTTTGCTTGGGTACTCTGAGGGACATAGCCCCCTTCATGGAGAGGTTCTCAGTAGTTACACATGTTTTGGAGAAAGCTACAAGGAAGAGAAATGTCTAATAGCTCGCTGGTGTGGTGAACATAGACTGTTCTTGTGCATTTGGACTCCTTTCTGTCACCAGCAATCACATATAACAGATTTGTTTCTATTCCACTAACGCAATATTGTGTGCCACAACCCTGAACCATCACCAGACACAGCTCTCACAGCCTAAAAACATCTGTTCATTAGTGTCACCTACTGGAAGATACAATGTACGTCAGTCTATGGAGAACGGGCAAGAAAGTGTTCAATGCATGCACTGAATTCAGCATCACTTATAAAATACCATTCCTACCCAGAGGAAAATTATGGAGATAAAGCCTGGTTGCATTTCACAACTAGCCATAGTAACTTACTTAGCAGAATGTGTGAAAAAAACATTAGCAAAGCCAACAAAACTGTGTTTATTCAAATAGCAAAGTACATATCTGCAGGAGTTGCAAACAGAGCAGGAATCACACAGATGCAAAGAAGCTTTCATCCAGAGCTACAAGCTTCCCAAGACTCCTGAATTTTTAATCAAAGGCTCAGGCACTGTACACATCCACCTGAATTGTAAACCATTACCAAGCAGCAGCGATAAACATGACGCTCCGCTTTCTTTCCTTCCTGCAGCTGGCTGACCTGCTCTGAAGCAGTCATATGAGTTGAGAAATAGAGAAAAAAGTCTGTTGGATTAAGTCCACTTTGTTCCAAATTCTGCTGTGTGTAGATAGAGCTCATTGAACCTATATATAAAATATAAAAAACAAATAGGAAACACAGAGACAGACGCATGATTATTCACAGGTTATTACATATAACCCCTATTGCAGATAATACAGCCTAGCAAGTAAATACAGATTACTTCCTCCTACAAATTGCTTCTCTTTTCAATAGTGCTTTTTCAAGGACAGTCATCTGAAGAGTGAAGGGCTTTCAAATTTGACCTAAATTCAGTCATTCAGACTAAGAACTATGGGTCAGAGTCCTAACCAGAGTTTGGGGGTGTCTATGCTGTTCTGCTGGAGGGCTTTGTGGCCTCTCTTGATCAATCCTAAGGATGGCTGTGGCCATGCAAAACAAGGGAGGACCCGCTGTACTGGGAGTACGATACCTGCATCCCGAGAACACAAGAACCCGAGGAACCAACAGGCCGGCTGGTAGGACGTGCACCAAGAAATGTCACACTGAAGGGGTGCACGCAGAAGGGATGCCTTCACTAGGGAAATATTCCTTGGGAGTGTCGTGCAAACCTCCTTTTTTGTTATATTGTTCACATTTCTATTTAAGCAACATTCAGGGCTGGCAACCTTATGCAGACAGAGTCACACCAAGTTCTTTACCTCTGGAGAGACCAAGGGGGGCCAACGATGCTCCTTCCCCCACAGCTCTGCAGGAGGGCGTCATACCTTTACTGCTTTTGGTTTTGCCTTCCTGCATCTTTTTTTTAATCCTCAGTCTTCAGGAAAAAAAATCCTCTGTTATTCTGTAACTACCTGCGAGATCTCTGACTAGCATTCCATTCTTATTATATACTTGGAGAAAAAAAAAGAGAAAAAAAAGAAAAAAGCTCAGCTCAGCTAACCCAGAGTGCTTATTCTCCACATCTCCTTATCTGGAAAAAATAAATAGTATTCTTCGACCTCTTCAAACGATGCTGGCTAATAGTTCAAGGCTTCAAGCCTTTCGCTTATCTAATGAGATGCATGCAGATGAGGAAAATACAACATGACACATCAACTCATTATGTCTGTGTGTTTTGTGACACAGTATAGACGCCGTGACTGAAACAAAATGCCCGTTTATGGAGAAATAACCCCTTTCAGTGCCAGACATTGACAGCTATGGTTTTGGTCTTGCTATAAGGCTCACCTGGTAAAAAGAAAGATCCTGCCAGTCTGTGCATTTCCCAGTTCACTAGGTAACATCACTGAAACCTAAGTCCTGGGAAACTATAGTAGCCCTTTTTTTGTTCCCATACAGAAGAGCCTAGTGCAACAGATAAATTTCTAGTACACCCTGGTTTTGGCCTGGTCGCAAAAATGAATGAATTACCTAAAGATATAGGGATGTTCATTTTTGCACACTAGGGACACGTTTCAGGATGATAGGTTATGCTATTTTCACCAAGTACTTGAACACTATATAGGTTTTTGGGCCTTTTTGCTCCACCTTAGTGTCTGTTGATCTCTTGGCTCTGTGAAGAGTTTGCTCTCGTGTTAAGTGCTAGACATCATATATGATTATTCTGAGCCTTGTAAAGAATTCTGTGTTGTCTCACAGAAAAACACTCACTCTGCTGAGTTGTCTTCCTCTTTTTTAAATAGACAAGGACATATATTTTGATAGTTATTCTGACTTGGTTTTTGAATTATTCATTCAACAAAGATATGGTTTTTTTTCATGCCAGTACAATCTGAGACAGTTTTAACTTACCTGTGATGTAATTTACTCCCCATATCTGACTGTCTGACCTCAAAAATCAAAGGTTAAACCTAAACCCAACAAACAGTGCAGAGCTCATTTAACAAGTATTTCAGTATTCAATTCAAAAAACCCATGTTTTGGTGGAAAAGCATTGGTTTTGTCAAATAAATGTTTTGAAAAACAGGCTGTACATTTTCAGTTACTATATCCAGCTTTAGCGCTATTACAGATATTTTCAAGGTAACTATCAAATCCATGTTCCACTTTCTTACTATTACTTTTTACAAGTAATCCAGTCTGTCTTCATTACTCCATATAACAAGGAGCTGAGATTCATTGGGTAGTGGCTAAGTGGGTAGGACAGTATTTGTGCACTGGAATAAGACTGCCCATAGCCTGCCTTAGTCTAGTGTAGCAGATGCTGAACCCAAAATCACTACCTGGCTGAGCCCTCGCTGTAGGCTGAGGAGCTGGTGGGAAGGAGAGCATCTCTGGGGCATCCTTGCAGGGCTGGCTCCAGCCCCCTGGGCCTGGGAGGCTTTGCGCGGCCACAGTGCTGGGTCGGCATTGGCTCCACTTTGGAAACAGCCTACAAAGAGTCACAACAAATGGAGCAGGATCCTCGGATCAAAGGATTATAGAAAAGCTGAGGTGTGAAGAGACTTCTGGAGGTCATCCAGTCCAGCCTCCAGCTCAGAGCAGGGCTAGCTCCAAAGTCAGGTCAGGACATAATTTAGAGATTTCAGCTGCTGCATGCGTCTCAAAGACAGAAAGGACACACAGACAGACAGAGACTATAGCCACATCTAAACTGAGGGGCAGTAATAGCCAAGCCCAAAGAATAGCCCCAAACCACCCAATTCGTTCACAGCTGCAATTACAGAATCACAGAATCGTTTAGGTTGGAAGGGACCTCTGGAGATCATCTAGTCCAACCTCCCTGCTCGAGGAGGGTCCTCTAGAGCATATTGCCCAGGATCACATAAAACAATTGCCGTAGCACAGCCTGGAGCAGCCTGAAGAGTGCAGGTACTTCTGCCTCTCGCACCTTTACTCCCCTGCAAGGCCACAGCGACTGTCGCCATCGGTTGTACTCATACATACATGTGGCTTCACATACAGAGAATCCAAAATACTAATCTGGCTATTGCACAGCGTACTATGGGGCAAATTCAGGGTGCAGTCCTGAAAGCAGTGCGATGGTCCCTGAGGTCCAAGTCACCCGCAACTACGTCCCAAACTGCCTGCATTTCAGATTGGCAGAGTGCACAAGTGCACTTCCTTCAGGGAAGGAAGGGATACAGGAGGACCAGACCATTCCCTCTGCTACAAATAGCAGAGCAAACCCAGCTGCAGTGAGAGCAGAGCACGTTTAAGAACTTTCAAGAACAGTCTGCAACTGATCCAGCTTCTTTTCCCTGCTTGAAGAAAAAATTTACTTGTGCGAGTAACTGCAAAACCCAGAGGAGCCCAGTCTGAGGGGTCTCCTTCCAGGATGCCCCCGCATTACCTGGGAGAACCTCCTGCTCCAGTTCATCCTTTTGTAGGTTGGTATAACAATCCTGGCATCCCTGACAAAAGAGTTTTTAGATCCACTGATGGAAAGTACTGTGCAATAGCGAGATACTGTTATTTATAAGTGCTCATTGATATATCCTGACCCAACTCAAACAGGCAAATCGTGATTGTCCCCTATTAAATACATTTCCTCCATGTTCAACAGGAAAGCATGTTTTTCATGCCCTAGTTATCAGCTTGAAGCTAACGTGATGTTATTTCATTCAACACAAGTGATTTTTATCAAATTATTTTATAACCAAGATTTTGTCCTATTAGACTTAGTTAATAAAATCATAGCATTAAACCAGTAACGAGTCTCTGCTACGTCCTCCTCCATACAAACTGGAAATAAGAGCTTTTTTTTCTCGTAAAGTTGAAGAGTAAGTGGGAGAAACTTCTGATCAGGGAATCATATAAATTAAGTTCAAAGCAAAGAAGAAAATTAAGTCTTGATTTGAAAACTGAATGGTAATGCAAGATACTGATTATATTATAGGAATTATGTCCCTAATATAATGACATTGCTTCCTAAAATACAATGAAAATGAAATTGAAGGTTTAATGTTTAAACAAACAGTTTTGATTCTGTATCACAAAGGCAACCTTGTCCCGGTTTGCTAATTATTTTTTCGTTGCGATTAGTCTTCCGATTCAGTCCCAGACGCTATCTGCAGAAACCTTTGTATCTCCGGAAACATTCACCACTTCAGTGGCTAAGGAGGAACTTGGTGTCTGTTTTGATAGCGTGTCAGGTTCAGCAGACTTCTGTATTTACGAATTTGTCCGCTGGTGAAAGACCTTTTATTTTGCCATTCGTTATTCATTTTTCTTATCTAACTTGACACACACAGCTAACACTGCGCTATCAGTTGTAGAAACAGTCTAGCACTTTTGGAAGCAGGAAAAATCCAGCCCAGCTGTCTTGAGAAGGAAACGTAGACCCGGATTGTGCATAATGTACTCATTACACATTGTAATGAGCTGCCCGGTGCATACTCATCAGACATACAGATCTCTCTCTCTCTCTCCGCATGGCTTTTAGAACTAAGTATTAATCACCACTCAATAAAAAACAAGCAAAAAAAAAAATCTAACTAGTCCAAATGGAAACTGAGTGCTTTGGAAAATTTTGGCCCAAGGATCACTACCACCAAACAGCTGCCTATGTCTTATGTAAAGTGAGATGGTATCTCCACGCATTTCTTTGTGAAAGGGTATCACGCTACACAAGAACACCATCACCAATGTCAGTTTTTGAAAGAACAACAAGGAGTGACGAGACTTCAGCCATGAGAAGGTGAGTACCCCAGGCCAGGGTGAAATCTGCCGGTGAACATGTGCCACTCAGTTGCCTACGTTATTCCCCGGATCTTCTGGTTCTGCATCTCTCCCAGTTCTTCTGCACTGCAAAGTTCTCGTCCTAGCGAATAAGTTTTACCTAAAGATGTCCTCTGTAATGGTTATACCCATAGATAGTCAGAGCTGTTCTTTACCACAGTCCACCACTTTTAGAGGCCATAACCAAAGAAAAAAGAATAAGTTCAGCAGCCTGGCAGAGTCTCAGACTATGTTGTTACCAAACAAGTGCCAGAGAAAATAGGTCACCAGTCCCGTGTCTTTGCATCACATGGACCTGGCAGCAGCACCACCTCCCTTCTCCACATTGCAGCACGTGCAGGCACAGGAGCCACTTGGATGCACAAGCACCGTCAAAATTTCTACTACTTCTTCTGGCCAGCTGGATGGAAACACTGCAGAAAAATGCAACAACCAGAGAGGGTCCACTGGCAACAGCTGGACCATCCCCGTCTACACAACATACACTAGCACAAGCAGTAACACCCCCCCAGACATTAACTTCTTTATAGTGAATTATATTACCCTACATGAAGCTTATAACTTGGCTACTAACAAGTCCTTTGTGAAGCCTGAACGCAAGAAGACTAATGAGCTCCAGAGACAGTTTAAACATAACATTTTTAGTGAGGCTTAGCATCTTCTACTTTAAATGCTCATCATAACACCATGCTGTAACCACTCTAATTCATTTTTGCAGGGTTTTTTTAATTGACTTTTAGATTTATCACTTAGTAAAAAAATATACTGCTTGAGACTACGCAGTAGGGCTTCCCTATTGTTAAGACGCAAAGCGACGGCATTTTTCTGGTCAAAACTAATCCTGTGACACAGTAAGATTTGGGCCTACTTGCAAGGCAGGAGGATCACCTGGTGCTTCCTAGGCTTGACCACGCTCTCCGAGGACCGGCAAGGCGTAGCGCTTCCTGCAGCCCCTCTGGTGCAGCGATCTAAAGCTCAGCAATGCTGACTGAATTGCGTTTAATCAAACTCCAAGAAACTGCACCTGAAGGTCTAATGAGAATTGGTGGATGCATAGGACGTGCACCACATTTAAAATACTATTCTTTGTGCGTCTTCTTAGTAAAGATTTTTCACTTTCTCTACCTGATTATGGTTTTCTAAATATCTTTATGAATGAGTCAATCTTGACTTAACAACTGGCAGAAGTTTTTGTATATTTATGGCAAAGTACTAAAATGAAGTCTTATAGCACTTGAATGAAGAACTGAGGCAGATAAAGACTATCAAAAATACGGTCACTTAGCATGGTAAAGCTACAAAAGTGTTTTCCTCCTAAGTAATGGTCACTTTTAAGTGTGACTATTCACTAAGACATTTTAGAAATCTTGCCCCCCAACCATTCGTAATTCACACCACAATGACACCTGTGCTTTTTCAAGGTCGGTCACCTTGACACAGTTCGCGCAGCACATCGTGTTACCAGGAAAGCAGCATTTTCTTCAAAAAACACAGTGCACAACTACCGTAATACTGTGAATCTGCACAGCTCTTATGGTGGAAAGAGAAGGGAAAAAAATAGGATCCCCACTCAAACAGAGAATGTACTGGTTAAGTGCTGGTAGCTGAGCAGTAATCGTTCCTTTTCTGCAAATATTAGCAGGTTACTGCTCACGGCAGAGGGACAGGAGGAAGCTGGCCATGACCCTGTTTCCGCTCCCTCTCCAATTAACAGACACAACGAAGAGAAGAATTGCCTTTAACAAGCCGCTTGCAAAACGCCCAGATTCGTGTCGATCGCCAGGGTTTATTGCAAATTACCGGGCTTTCCAGCAACCAGATGGCTTTGGCGGGAGCAAGGCAGGGAGCAGCTGGGGGCCGGCAGCCCTGGCTGGGGGCTGGCGGGCTGGAGGCACCGCCGCGGCCGTGTTACTGGATCACTCACAGCAGGGATTGCTGCTGCCCTTATGGTACATTTAAACTATGTTCAACATGAAGGCACTAAAAGATCATCAGCTGACATTACCCCCTTGCAATATGCAACACGGTGTGGATCGAACAAGTGTTGCATTTAGATTTAAAGACCATTTATTGTTGCCTGGCATCGTTTTCTGACCCAGTTCTACTAGATGCATTTCCATCCACCCATCTCAAAAATACATGTTTTAACAGGGCCATCTCCTCTGGTAGAAGCTGTCTCGCATCACTTTCTTTTGCAGGATGGTGAGTACAGTCAACACCCTTGTAAGTACTGAGAAGGGTTACGAGTAGGACAGACCGGCCCCCGCTCTGCAAGCGGACCCTGGTGTCGGTGCGCCACGGGAACGAAAGCAGTCCCTCTGGCGTCCCGCAGTCGCTTGCATAAGGAAGCCGCAGGGACCTACCCCTTCCAGCCGGGCTTTGCAACTCCCTGAAGCAGGGCTGCCCTTAAACTTGCTAGACATCCTCCCTCCGCGAGGGCTGCTGGCGGCAAAGGCACGCCGTGAGCAACCTCTGGCTCGCAAGCTGCTTCCTAATATACAGTTTAAGTTTAGAAGTTGCCTCCACGTGCCAGTATTTGCAAAACTGAGGATGAGTGACAAAAGAAGAGTAAAACCTCAGCCTTTGACTCCGCGCGGCAGCAGGATGGGGCCGTGACAGGGATGTCCCGGAGGTCTCCCTGGAGGCGCTCTCTGCTCTCCACTCCTGGGGGCTGCAGCAGGAGTT